TTTATTCATTAAGAGAATGTAACTATATATCTATCCTAACCATTTTGAATACACAGATACAAAATGGACATTCATCTGTATCCCCTTTTTTGTTAAGTTCTGTTATTTGAATATTTTAGGTGTGTTAACTCAGCAAAATATTCTAAAAGAGTCCAGTATCTATCTACCTTTAGTAGGAATTTTTTTCAAAGATGAGCTCTGTTCTTTGTCACGTTTTGTTTATTCAATTTATTTTTTATTTAATGTATATCTCTATGGGTTGTCCGCCTTTACTCCAGTTTTTTGGTTTTTTTTTTTTTTCCCCCTCATCAAATTGTCCTGGCTTCACACATTGGTAACTTGCTTGAGTTGGTTCTTATGTCCTTTATTTTTTTGGTGGAACCAGGGATTGAACTCAGGCTCTTGCACTTGCCAGGCAAGCGCTCATTCTACTGAGCCATCTCCCTGGCCCCTCTTGTATCCTTTTGAAATTGCTTTTTCATTTTTTAAAATGCCTTTATCATTTATTTTATGGTACTATATTTTCTAGGTTTTCTTGTATTTTCCCTGCCCTGACCTGGAATCAAGTGTTAGTCTATAGAAACCTGGCTTCTTTTTATTATAGGATGGTAACTAGACATTGCTTTAAGAATATATGCGAGGGGCCGGGGAGATAGCTCAGTAGAATAAGTGTTCACCTGGCAAACGCAAGGGCCTGAGTTCAATCCTCGGTTCCACCAAAAAAAAAAAAAAAAAAAAGTGTATATGCGAATCTCTTTTAATTATTTGTAGAATTTTGTGTATGTTTTCTTGCTTATTGGGGGGTTGGGGAAATTCATCAGATTTTTCAAATGTTAGTCTTTGATTTGAAGGAAGTTAATGTCTTGAATTAAGATTCCAGTATATTTATGTCCATCATACCCTTGCATGGAACTTTTTCTTTATAGGCATGTGGATATGTCAAATATGTCGACCTAGAAAAAAAGGACGAAAACTGCTACAAAAGAAGGCAGCACAGATAAAACGGCGCTATGCTAATCCAATAGGACGCCCAAAAAACAGGTTAAAGAAACAAAACACGGTGTAAGTTGTACTTATGGCAAGGTGAGGGGAGAAAAGAATAGGGCTTTCTTTATAGTGTAGGATTCACTTTTTTTGTTTGGAACCCCTCCCCCATTTTTTTATAACTTGTGCTTTATATAATAATGGCTGAAACTTCCAGAGCCCTTACAAAGTGCCAGCCACTGTTCCATGTGCCTTACGTGTTCTTAAATTGCTTAATTCTCTTTATAGCCCAATGAAGGGTAGGTACTGTTGTTACTTGAATTTTTCAAAGGCAGAGGGAGATTATCTTGTATAAGATTGTATACTAGGTATTAAGCTGGAATTAAAACCCAAGTACTCTGACATCTTTCCTTTGTATTACTTCTTATAAAAGTAGGGAAGAAAAACTGTTAGTATTTGGGGTCTTCCTCTCCTGATTCAGTCTCAGTTATTTGTATGTGTTAGGTGCACAAATCACTGGGTAGGTTCTTCATATTGGGATGATAACTAAATCTTGTTTTTGTGTTCTCCCAATATAAGATGTGTTTTCATTAGATAGCGGAAATTAGAAATTGTGAATTAGAAAACTGGGCTATATCTGGAGGAGATGGAGCATGATTTAGTAGCTAATTCTGTCCTGATCTTTGAGGATATGTGAAATAGCTTCAGAGCTGTACAACTTCTTCATTTTCAAAATGTTTACCAACCTTCCTTCATTTCATACTATCATGGAGATGATGTAGCTGAGTAAGCATCAATAGCTGGAAAATGAACCAGTGTTATAGAATATATGTGTGGTGCATGTGTTTATGTACATATATTTCACTACAAGGGGATTGAATGTAGGGCTTCATGCATGCTAGGAAGGCACTCTGCCACTGAGCCACATCCTTAGCTCATTTGAAAAATCGTATTTTGAGACAGGGTCTCATTAAGTTGCCAATATTTTTATTTATCTTTTTAAATGTCTACAGGGTCTACAGGGCCTCACTACACAGATAGGACTCATAGTGATCCTCCTGTTTTCAGCCTCCCAAGTGCTAGGATTATAGGTGTGTGCTACCACACCCAGTCTCAGGCTCAGTGTGCCCCAGAGGCGGGGCTGACACAGCACCCTGGGGATCAAACCCGGTCCCTGCACCTGCCTAGTGCTTTAATCCACTGAGCTATCTGGCTGGTCCTTATTTTTGATCTTTAAATCAAACGTTAATATTCCTATACAATGATCTTTTGATTTCTGACTTCCAGCAAAAAAACCATCTCTGTTTAGAGGTAAACGTATCACTGAGTTGGTACAAAAGTCACAGCATCATGGAGCTTTATGCCTGGAAAGGATGCTGTTCTCTGGTCCAACTCTTGTTTTATAGTGAAGGAATATGATAGAATATGATTTGTCCAAGATGTATAAATAGTAAGAGGCAGAATTATGACTTGAACATGTACTCTGATCTCTGACTTAGGGTTCTTTTTAGTTTTAATAACTGTGCTTCTTGGAAATAGTTGTTTCCTATCATACTATTTCTCATTTATATGCTACTCATAGTATATTATATTTTTAATATGCTCCTAAAAATAAAGCTTTAAGTATATATTTACTAGATTACTTATTAAACATAAATTTTACGATTTCTTTTAATAGTTATATATTTTTTTTCCCTTTTTGATTCTTTAGATCAAAAAGTCCCTTCAGCAAAGTTCAAACTGGCCCTGGAAGGGGTCGGAAACGTAAAATCACTCTCTCCAGCCAATCAGCAGCATCATCAGAAGAAGGATATTTAGAGCGAATAGATGGCTTGGATTTCTGCAGAGATAGCAGTGTCCCCTTGAAGTTCAACAAGAAAACCAAAGGGCTCATTGATGGCCTTACCAAATTCTTCACCCCTTCCCCTGATGGGCGGAAAGCTCGGGGGGAAGTGGTAGACTACTCTGAGCAATATAGAATCAGGAAAAAGGGCAACAGAAAATCAAGCACTTCAGATTGGCCCACAGGTAAAAGTTTGAAACAAACCTAGAAACAAAAAGTATTCCAAAATTGTATTATTTAGAGTAATACTAGTTATCTCAGTTATATTCAATTATAAAAAATTGTTTATGGAAGTTAAGATCTATTGAACATACATGTAACAGGAAGTAGAGGCTAAAGTTACAAGTAGACTAGTGGAGCTTTTAGGCAACAAAAGAAGTTGCCTTTTGGTAGAAGCACAGAGAATTTACCATTTGGGAAATAACATTGAATCCAGAACAATTTTGTATTCCACAGATTACTGAATAAATCATATAAGAATCACCATGAGGCTAGCTTTATTCTTGGTAAGAAATTGGAAAAGTGGGGCCGGGAAGATGGCTCAGTGGAATAAGCGCTTCCCTGGCACGCGTAAGGGCCTGAGTTCAATCCCTGGTTCCGCCAAAAAAAAAAAAAAAAAAAAAAAAAAAAAAAAGAGGAAAAAAAAGAAATTGGAAAAGAGCAGAGGTAATGACCACTATTGATCTAAATATACAATAAAGACCAGAATATATGCAAATCCAATAAGGTCTCTAATATTTCTATCTCATCTTGGTACATATTTTCATTTATAAGTTTCATGGATTAAGAGAACTATAACTGCAGACTGTTTGGCCATATATTAGGCTGAGTTCCCTACCTTTCAAAGCAGACATCTATGGAGAGAACTCAACAGTTTAATACATAATTTAAGAAGAATTTGATTAGCCGTCTGGGCAGTTATAGCTTATAATGACCTCATTACAGAGCCATGAGTTTAGAGGACCTAACTCTGTAAAGGGCTTTTTGAGAAAAGTAGAAGAATAATTATGAATTCTTGGACAAAAAGGACCAAATTACAGTGTCTCTTAACTTTGATTTCCTCCCCCAAATGTTCCATTGGTAAGTGATTGTATTCAGTGCTTCTTCATTCCTGCATATAGAGTGGTTGGTTGGTCTGCTGCAGGAGAGAATGTTTTCATCCTTTTCAGTGTTCTCCTTTGCTGTTCGATTGATTTTTTTTTTTTTTTTTTTTTGCCAAAGTAGCAGTCAGCTAGTTTACTCGTTAAGCATTCAAGAGTTTGCATGTAGATGTGCTTTTAGTCTGAGCATGTTTATCTAAGAAAATAGTAATCCATTTAGACTGGTCTTAGGAGGAAAGAATCTCAGAGCATTACCTAATGAAAGTCATTTTTGCTTTAAACATTTGCTCTGGATATAGATTCTTAGAAGAATGTACTAGAAAGTTTTAGAAATAGAAATTGTTAGAGGATACATATAACAGAGAACTAACACTAAACTTCAAGCATTGGTGTAGTGTTTGCTTTAATAGGCTGTGTCATTTTATAAATTGTAGACTTCAAAGAACAACGTGTACATCATCTCATATGGTGCTGCAGCCTGCTATACTAGATCTGGGTCTACTTGCGTCTGTGTCATGCACCTAGGGGGCATTATAGTTATATAGTACCTTTAGATTGTACTTTTTTTTTTTTTTTTCGGTTTGGAAATATTGTCAACAATGAGTCTTTGTCCTTTTTCTTCTTGTACAACATGAATAACAGACAGCCTGTATGTACAGTCGATTTGAAAAGAACTGTCACTGATTGGTCTTTTCAGCCATACTCATACAAAGAGGAAATGAGGCCATCAGCAATGTCATCTTCAAATGCAAAGGATAATGATCTACATAATCCCCAAATACCTTTCACTAATTTTTTTGCCCAGTTGAGGAAGAGCCATCATTTAGTGGATGATTATCATAATTTTTCATACTTACCCAGAGGATTATCAACTGTGGTCCTCAGGTTTGTGGAGTTTGTGCTTTAACAGGGCACCCAGAATGTCAGGGGAGTTAGTATTTCCTGGTATCAGTTAAGGTAGCTACTCTGAAGATTATCTTTTTGAATGTTGATACATTAAACTCATACTAAAAGTGTCATATTCATTCTATTTAAAAATTTTATATTCCTTAGATCCTTGTTCTGCCTATTAAAATGTAATCTCTTTTAATGATGTTTAAATTTGGTTATATTGTATTTTAGGAAACTTTAAGTCAACTGAGGATTTTCACTAAAAGGCAGATATAATACGTAAAATTCTTTATTGAGCAGTATCTTTCTAGCAGTTTAATGCTGTTCTTTTATATAAGTAATATTAAGGTCTTCATATTAAATGCCCATGTACTAAATTAAGATAGTAGAAATAACACAGTAGCTCTTTCTTTATGCGCAGACAATCAGGATGGCTGGGATGGCAAACAAGAAAGTGAGGAGCGGCTTTTTGGGAGCCAGGAAATCATGACTGAGAAAGATATGGAATTATTTCGTGATATCCAAGAACAAGCACTGCAGGTAAAGTTGGATATTCAAGTTGGACAATTAAGTAATTTGTTCATGGATAAGAAAAAATTATTTTTACTGTGGGTAAAACAGTAGGAGGAACTTAACCATTTATTTTAAAAAGAGAGGGATGTGCATATGTGTGTACCTACTGGTTAGGATTTTCCTTTCAAACCCAAATGCTTTCTGCTGGTTCGGATTTTCCTTCCAAACCCAAAATGCTTTGGTTTTATATATATAAATGCATTGTTTTGATTACCAGTATTAGATGTGTCAGTTTTATGTATTTTCTGTTTTATTATGTGAAGAATAGTTTGGAATTTGACCAAACAGAACGCTTCTTGTATATAATGAAGTACTGTATTCATTAATTCAAGAAATGTTCCATCTTAATTCCTTGTGACACATAGCAAGATGTAAATACATAGAATTTACTTTGTACCAGATAGCATCTCCTGTATCTGGTGCAAAGTAAATTCTATGTATATGTGAATAACAGAATTTTTTCCTCAAGCCTAGGAGAAACTTACAATAAAAATTTCAATATGAGAAATGCAGTTGTGGAGTACATGGTACAGGGAGATGACTCAAGGGAGGTCGGAAAAGGATTCATTGTGGACAGGGAGTAGTTTATCAGTACAATAGGCAGTAAAAAGGAACAGTTGAAGATAGGGGATAGCGTGATTAATTGTGGAAGTTAAGTGGTTTAGGATAAAGAGCCTAGAGTATAGAAGATAGTAGGAAATGAGGTTGGGTAAAGTACAGAAAATAGATCATGAAAGCTATACTCATTTATCTTGTCTCTTCTTTCTTTGCCACCAACCAGTTTACTATATAAATGAAGCTGAGTTCTCTGTTTTGTGTCTTGAAAGTTAACATTGGTAAGGCTTATGCCTTAACTAAAACTGGATTAAGAGACCTGTTGCTAAATAGATTATGTCTGTCATTGTGTGAATGCTTTAGAAAAATAAAAAGAGAACTATAATAACTCACCAAACATTTACTCAGCATTCTACTATATTGCAATTTGATGAAGCATTGGTTGTGAGTCAGATGAACATGGTATTAAATCTTGGTCTGTCCTTTACTAACTTCTGCTTTGGGAAATTTGCTTCACTTCTCAAGGCCCATTTCTTTCTTTTCCTGCTAAAAAATAAAATAAAATATTATAGGTACTGTAGTAGAGATCTACATAAGGTTTAGTGGGACTTTGAAGTGGGGAGCAGTTAACTTCCTGACTGGAAGGACTTTTCCCTCTAAGTTGTAGGCACAGTGCTAATGTCTTTTTATTCCTGATTATTGTGCATATTTGCTTAAAAAATAAAAAAGGACATTCTCATACATGACTATGATCCAGGCATCAAGTAAATAACTTGTCACAAAGTGTTATTATGTATTATGACATTATTCATGTGGTTCGTTTTGTTGTCATGTCTCTAGTCTCATCAGGGTCAGTTTCACAGTTCTGTCTTTCATGACCTAAACACTGTTGAAGTATACATGTCATATATTTACAGCATGTCCATCATAGAGCTTGTTTTATGATTCATCATGATTTTACAAGCCATAGAGGTGCTTCTCACTACATCCTGTAAGGAGGTGTGAAATATCTCTTGGTCTTACTGCAGTGATACAGTCTTAGTTTATGTGGTTAAGAAGGTGGTATTCTGCCACGTGTTTCTCTATAAAATGATTTTTTTCTGTAATTATCCTACGGTAACATACTTTGAGGCCATGAATGTATCCTGTTTCTCATCACTTTTATTCATTATATTTAGCGTCTAGTAATTTTTGCCTGAAAAATCAACTTTGTCTGAAACATTTTTTTCTAATTCTGCCATTTCTTTTATTAATTGGTATTTTAGAAGGAAGACCATTTTCTACTTCCTATTTATTCATTCTTTTTTTTTTTAGACTCAAGTTATTCTATTTTATGTGGTGTATAGCTTGTTACTATTAATATTTATTTTGATGTTTAAATTGTTTTTAAGTTTGTGTGGAGGGTGGCTTTTGTCTTTTTGATGTGTCTTATTGTTTTTATTGTGGTCACAGTGTAATGTCCTTGACTCTTTTCTAGCCTAATTCCCCAATTTCTTTTAGTGAAGAATGGGAATAAATGGTAACTGTCAGTCAGCTTTCTTTCACTGTGATGAAAGCACCTGAGATAATCAGCTTAAAAGGGAAGATTTATTTTGGCTTACAGTTTTAGAGATTTCAGTTATACTTGGCCATGTTCATTTGTGGCCTGTCACAAGGTGGCACATCATCACAGTATACATGTGGTGGAGGGGGCTGCTCACCAGATGGTGGCCAAGATGCGAAGAGAGAGAAGAAAGTAGAGTTAGGGTCCGTTTACCCCTGAAAGAGTATACCCTCAGTAACCCAACTTCTTTCCCTTAGGCTCCACCTTCTAAAGGTTCCAGCACCTTCTAATAGTACCACAGGCTGCCAGCCAAACCTTAAATATGGCCTTTGGAGGACATAGAAGATCCAAACTACAATAATAATTTTATCTTTATATTTGCTTAGGCCCAAAGAAGTATCATCTTTCATTCTTTTGTTTCACTTTTTTCCTGTACATTTCAGTCTGTCAGCATATCTTTCTGTTCTGCCTTCAGAATCTGTCCAGAATATGATTGCTTCTTACTCCTTTGCACCCACTGTCATCTCTTACTTGGACTGCTGTAATAGCTCTAAAGCCAAATTAATCATTTTCAGACTTAGCTTGAGGCATACCACTCCTCTGCTCAGAAAACCTCCAGTGTCTTTTAATTTTATTTGGAATTTTTAAAATCTAAAATTCTTACCCTCCTCTCCAAGGTTTCATGTGATCTTGGCTGCCTGTTTTGCTGCCTTTCTCCAGATACCATTGTTTTTGTTTATTCTGTCTCCAGGCTTAGGTCCCTTCCTCCTGCCATATACCTGCCAAGGAGTCTTTGCACTTGCATCTCCCTTGCTCTTGTTGCTCTTGATATAATCTAGAGGGCTTGATGGCTCCTGGCTTATTGCTTCCTTTGTTTCTCTGAGTGTTATGTTTGTCACAGAGACTTCCCTGACTCCCAGACTACTTTTACCCAACTCTGTTCCCTTACTGCATACTTTTTTTACATAATACAGTACTTATCACCTCCCGACTTTAAGCACTTATTTCTAGAATGTAAGTACCTTGAGAATAGAAACTTTCTCTTTGGCAAGTGACTGCTGTGTACTGAGTACAGTGGTACCTTGATTCTGGTTGCAGAGTTGGATGAGAACTGTATCAAATTCAATGGTTTGGCTCACTGTTGACCTTAAGAGAAAATTTGATATGATTCTGTCCAGTTCAGTGGAGAGAGTTGAGCGTGTGAGCCAAAGTACAACTGTAGTTGGTTCAGTAAACATTTGTTTAATGATTAGATATTCGAATGAAAATTTCTGCAAGCAGAAATGGGGTTGGAGTTGAAATAATAGGAATATCTAAAGAGAGATATGACTGGGGAGAACTAGAAGATGATGCTAAACCTTGCTGAAGCTGCCTCATGAAGCTCTCATAAGCAAGACAGTAAGTAAGCAGTCATAAAAATAAAACTATAATTTCTAACTGAATGCAAAGAGATTATATTATGGAGCTTTTGATCAAGATTACTGGGAGTCAGGTTGAAGGCTATGTGACAAAGGCAGACTTAAGGAAAAATAATTACACAGAGAACTAAAAAATGAATACAAAGACAGCAAGGCAGAGAGCTAGGGAGAAAAGAGAAAAAAATATTTTTCAAACAGGCAGTGGGATACCTGTCTGGCTTCAGCTTCTTGGGAGGCGGCTAAAACAGGAGGGTCAGTTGAGCCCAGGAGTTCAAGGCCAGTCTGGACAATATAGCATGACCCCAATTTTGGTGAGGTGGTTTAGAGGCCCTTATATGAAGAATGGATTGGAAATAAGCAGGAGTACAGTGAGGGAAGTCATTTTTGCAGAGATTAGATGAAAAGGTGGTAATTTGGACTAAAGAGATGGTGGTAAAAATGGGACGAAAGTAGATGGGTTTAGAATATATTTGGAGATGAGATCAGCCAAACTTGGTGATAGATTTGGTGTGTTGTTGTTTGTTTTGAGGGAAATAAGATGTTATCAATGATGACCCCTGGGTTTTCTCACTTAGTGTAATAGTGAAAGTAGTATAAAGTCAGTTGGGAAAGTTAGTAGTGATTAGATTATGTTTTCATCAATAAAAGAATTCATAAAGATAGTGTGTAGTTATTTTTGAGAGCAGAGATTTGGCTTAGTACAAGCTACTTCAACCTGTGCTTGCTTGTTCATTTGTTTGTTCGTTCATTCATTCATATTCATTCATTCACATATGCAGCTGGGTATCAAACCCAAGCCAAGTTCTTTACCACTGAGCTAGCTATACTCACTGTCCTTTGTTTTAAGTATTTTGCAGGAAGATTTTACTTTGGGGTCTGAGATAGTCATAAGAGTAATGCCAGCAAGAAGTAAATGATAAAGACTTCAATGTTGGAATCCATCCGGCCAACAAACCTATCATTTTTGGGGTGCATATTATGTTACAGCAACTATTTTAAATGTAGAAGCTTTAAGGAAGGTATAATTTTATTCTCATAGTTTCTAGTAGGAAACATCAAAAGGAGACATGAAAAAGTATGAAATTATCTCTTAGAATGAGTGACTGGAGTGGGAAAGCATTAAGGGTCTATTTGAGGTTAAGGATTATGTATTATAAATGGACTGATTCTGTGGATTTTTTTCCCCAATCATGTTGAAATTTTGTTGATGACAACTTAAATTATGTAGAGAATTGAATTAGTAAGGGTAGGATTTTGTTGTTGAATCAATGGAAAAGAAAGTTAAGGGTATATGCAAAGGCAGTATTTTAAGGGAAGACAGATTTGGTGAGAGAAAAGAGCATGAGGATGAAAGGCTGGTAGGATCACTAGATTATAAGTCCTACAAAGGGAAAAGATCAGAGAACTGAGGACAGAATTCTGATGTTATCAATACTTAAGGGTAAAAGAAGTAAGAAAGATGCAAGTATAGAACTAAAGGCTATACTACAGTACTTCCTTGAAAGTAGTCTCATGAGCTTTTGTGGTATAATTTGATATCACTCTTTAGATAGAACATGATCCTTTATCCACAACTGAAATCTAAGGAATATTGAAAACCTAAAAAAGAAATTTAGTGGTAAAATTTATATGATATAAACTTTACCTTTTTAACCATTTTTAAGTGTATAGTTCAGTGGTATTAGATATATTTGCATTGTTATACACCCATTTCCACTCTCTGTTTCCAGGTCCTTTTCATCTTTTATCTGGCGAAACTGATAAGGTGTAACCAAAGTAACACTTTTTTTCCTCCTTGCCAAGCACTTATATTTTGTGTTAATTTTGCTACTCAGGTATCTTGTGTCAGTGGACAACGTTTGTCCTTTTATATCTAACTTATTTTCTTTAACATATTGCATCCAAGTCTTACCTGTATTTTAGCATGTATACTAGTGCCGAAAAATATTCCATTGTATTATAGCACCACATTTTGTTTATCCATCGATCTGTTAATGGACAGTTTGGTTGTTTCTACCTTTTGCTTATTGTGAATAGTACTGCTGTGATATTTGTGTGCAAATACCCATGTGAACATTCTTGTTCATGTTTTGAACAGTTGCCATTCTGTTTTCCACAGCAGCTGCACCATTTTACATTCCCACTAGCAGTGAGATAGGGTCCTAACTTTGTATTCTCCTCCATATTTGTTATTTTGTGATGTTTCATTTTTGAAATAATAACCATCCAAGTGAGTATAAAGTAATATTTTATTGTGATTTAATTTGCATTTCTGTAATATTAATGATGTTAAACATCCTTTCATATGCTTATGATTCATCTGTATGTCGTTGAAGAATGAAATGAACATTTTACAACTCATTTTGTAGTAAATCTCACTTTTCCTAAACTCTCTTTTTGGAAAAACATGATCTGAACAGATATGAGTCTGTTTATGTCCTAGTTAATGTGAGTTTTCATATATAATAAGTCTCCAACTTACAAACAAGTTCTGTTCCAGGAGAATGTTCGTAAGTTGGATTTATTCATAGGTCTGACAAAGTCTTATACACCTTTGACACAAATATAGTGTAAAGAAAAACACAAACAACGCACACAGAGATTGTAAATTATTTTTACTTTTATGATTACCTTAAAGTGGTAAGATAGACATGTGAACTGTTCCCATGATTTGTTCATATCTATGAATGTTCATGATGCAAGGCCTGTTATTATCTGTGAAGGTTCCCAACTCAAATGTTCCAAAGTCAGGACTTGTTGTATTTTTCAAAAGAAATATTAATATATCTGATAGTGGTATGTTGCCCCAAATCTTAATGGGCCTGGGCATTTAATATGTGTATGTATAATTAATATTTTTCTAAAATTAGAAAAACTCAGATTTTTAAAAACTGTCTTAAAGGTTTTGAATAAAAGATGGTAGACTGGTAATTTTTCTTTTTGGAAAGCTTAAAATTCTAATTAAAAAAAATATACAAACTTTTTGAATTTAGAATATTTACTAGTTGAGGGCTTACCTGTATTTGTATCTCACATCTACACCTTTTTTTCCTTTTTTGTATTTAGGCTTCATGCTAGGTATTCCTACTCTGGTATTTTTCCTTCTTAAATTCTCTTGAGTGTTTTCATCCTTAAAATTAACAAGTTTTTTTCTCTTTTTGGGGGATGGATTATGCAGTTGAGTGTGACAACAGTGGAAGAAGGCACAGTGTCATTCTTACATACGTCTTTCATTCTGTAGCTTTTAATGCCGAATGACTAGAATTACTTACTTACTGTAAACTTTATGGGAAAAATGTTCCAATAGCAGAAAACATCTCTTTTTCCCACATTTCTTTTTCTTTTTTTGCGGTACCAGGGATTGAACTCAGGACCCTGCTCTTGCAGGCAATTTTCCCCACATTTCCATATTGATACAGAAAAGTACAAAAGATAGGTAGGTCCAGGGGAAGCTGTCAAGTGACAAGGGAGGAAAGCGCTTATTCAGCTGAGCTATCTCCCCAGTAGAATAAGTGCTTCCCTGGCAAGTACAAGGGTCTGAGTTCAATCCCTGGTTCTGAGAAAAAAAAAAAAACTGAAGGGAAGGTAAGAAGGAGAGCAGTATTTACACAAAACCTGTTTGTTATTAGTACAAGATCTAGTGTTGAAATATTTTCATATAGGAGTGGCCTCCCTGTATTAGAAATTGGAATTAGGTCATTTAATGGAACTTGAGTTTTTGTAGGAAAATAGTAATATTTTCTTACAAAGTGCTAGTAATAAAGGTTTCATTTTCTAGAAATAGGCATTTTAAAGTTTTCTCTTGGCATAGTCCAATTACTATTGCATTTAATGCCTCTCATAGCTATCTTAGATTAAAAGTCAGTTGTGGCCTGGAATATGTGTCATCTTTCAAAGATTTTGCCATACTCAGATGAGAAGGTGGTCATAGAATGGTAGAATCTGTTTTAAAAATATGTATCTTATGCTCTTGATTATATTCGATAACTATCACTTTGCAGAGTTGCATGTTCAATAGCGGAGTATTCTGGATAAAATTTTAAATGATCTTGCAAAGGTGTCCTCATTGTAATTTAGGTGTGACAGTTTGATTTTGGCAACTACTTTGCTAGTAAATGGTCAGATGGATGCAGCAGTAGTTTTTTCCCCGTATCAAGCCTTGTTAACATAGGCCTTGTGAATGGTGGAGGTGCCTCCACTCTGGAGGCTTGCACCACTGGGAATTGGAGTGGTAGAGCGTGCGCATGAGCACATGTACCAGAGTATTCACAGTTCAAAGGCAAGGGTAGGTGTGGGCAGAGGCAGAATCTGCCACAAATCTAGTTGTATTCAGACTCTTGTAGTTGCAGTAATGTGCAAACAATTATACTGGAACTGGATATCCACTTTCACATCAGGCATTCGCCTGGAGGAACACCAGGTAGCTGACTGGAGAGCCCTGGGACTGCCGGCGGGGGTGCCACTGCAGGTTCATATTTTCAGCTTCTGTGTTCTGATGTAATGCGGTCCTTGCCTCAGGAAGTTAGGTTTGATTTCTGGTATTTTCCTGTGCTCCTGCAGTTATTGTGAGCTGTGAAGATGAAATGATTCTGCTTGCTTGATTCTGGAATGTTTAAAAGATAGCACTGTAAAAACATTTTTATAATAATTGTTTTGGCTTTTGAGAATTAAAAGAAATTTTATTTTAACCTCATTTTGTGTATTACTGTAGATACTATTTTGACTTTTAGAAGAGTTCTATTCCTTGTTTGTAACAGTGCAGTTTATCCAACTGTAAGATTGCGTTTTGTTTTGAGGTATCTGAGGAAGAGCTCAAGGTCTCAGTTGGCTGAATTACAGCATGAAACCTGAGATTAGTCCCTTGGCCCTTTATAAAAAGGGATGGAGTGTTCTCAAATGAGCCTAGGTGACGAAAAGTCTTTTTTTTTGTAAAGTGAATTTATATAAAATCAGTGAATGAAGATCTTTGAGGGGTTTTTTTGTTCTGTTTTGTTTGTGTCTGCGCACTCCACTAAGTACCATATCTCAGTGATCCTTTTGGCATAATAGTAAAGGATAATTTTGATTGCTATATTGATAAAAAGTTAAGTTATTAATATTTGTAATCACTTGAGAAAGCTAAATTCTAGCTCTTTTTCTTAAGCAAATACTTATAAAGTGTGGTAAATACACATACATGATGAATCTATTGTTAGTTTAGGTGCAGAACAAATCAAATTGCTCTTGAATTTAATGTTTTAAAACCTGAATTGGGGCAGGGGAGATGGCTCAGTAGAGTAAGTGCTTCTCTGGCAAGCACAAGGGACTGAGTTCAATCCCCAGTTCTGCCAAAAAAAAAAAAAAACTGAATTTTTTTAGTAGTAGCCTATATTTAAATTGTTAGGATAAAAGTCAAACTTCATAAAGGCTTTAAAGTTCATTTATAATGTTATTATTGTTCAGATAATTGCAGGAGTGAGGGACCCATAGAGACTTTAGATTATAAACTGAAGATAGAAAAATAGGAATAGTCAGTACACTGTAAAGTTGTAGTCTGTCTTCTTACAGTTACTAATAAAAGGAATTTTAGGTGCAGAGTGACTCTTTTAATACTTGTTTTGTTACATTGTTTTTGTATTCTTACATATGTACTGTCCCTAATCAAAAAAGCATTCTTATTTATGTGTGCATACATATAGGTCATTTCCATTGTTGTGAGCTGAAACAAGTAAGTGGCAACCCCTCCTTTATCTCATGTCCTTGAATGCCAGCAGTTTCTTTTTAATAAGTCATTAAGGGAATAAGTTTAGTTAAGGAAAGTAGTCAGTATTATTAAACATAAAAAAGCAGTGACACCAACTACATTTGATTCTAAGATTTATTTTAGCAATTTAATTCTTTATTTGGATGCTCTGTTTAAAGAATAATGCAACTTATTTAAAAACTTGTTAGCTTGTTCCTCATCTTTCCCTGTATATGGAATCATGAGAAGACAGCATTTATTTAGATTCCCATCTTGTTATGTTGTGTGTATCTAATTTAGCTAACTTTTATAATATGTTTCTTGACTGCACAGAAAGTTGGAGTAACTGGTCCCCCTGATCCACAAGTTCGTTGTCCCTCTGTCATTGAGTTTGGGAAGTATGAAATTCATACCTGGTACTCCTCCCCATATCCTCAAGAATATTCAAGGTATGTGTAGTTCTACAGGTTCTTTACTTTCTGACTTAGTTTTAATTCTGGTTTAGTTTTTGGTTTTATAGTGCTGCAGAACTAGAAGGGATCTAAAGATGTTTTAATCCAGTTTTTTTACATTTAAAGAAACTAAACTGGTTTATTCATTTATTTTTGGCACCAGGGATTAGCCCTCAGGGCTTTGAATTTACCAGGTAGTCATTATTCTGATCTACATCCCTGCCCCCCAGGCTCTTTTAAATATCCACAGTAGCATTCTGTTGCAGCCAGTTAGTCCCAGCTGGCTTTATGTTTTTTCTCAACTAACCTATCAAAAATCCTTTAAACTTAGAAACTAAAACTTTAAGGGGCCGCGGAGATGGCTCAGTGGAATAAATGCTTCCCTGGCAAGCACAAGGGCCTGAGTTCAATCCCTGGTTCCGCTGGGGAAAAAAAAAGAAAAAAAGAAAGAAACCAAAACTTTACATATGGTTAGGATGAAAGAGAAATATTTTCAAGGTGAAAGAGAAATTTGCCTTAGGGCCGGCCGGCCAAATAGCTCAGCCAATTAAAGTGCCTGGAAACAGATGCAGGGGCCAGGGTTCAATCCTTGGGCTTGCCGTGCTGGCCCCGCCCCCAGGGCTCACAGAGACTGCAGTTGAGACTATGTGTGGTGGTAAGCATGCCTGTAATTCCAGCACTTGGGAGGCTGTAAACAGGAGTATCACTGTGAATCCGATCTTGTACTGAGACCCTGAATACCCTGTAGACCCTGCCCTAAAAAAAAAAAAAAAAAAAGAAAAAGAAAAAATTTACCTTTACTCTTTAAAGATTTAAAAAAAAAAAAGACTCTAAATAACTATAATATAGTTTCACTTCAGTAGCCTTTGATGTAAATGTAATAAATTTAGTGGACAGTGTATCTGTATAGGAATAATTAGACAAATAGGCTACTACGATTTTATATATAAATAACTTGGGTTTCTAAGTATAAAAACTGATCATGATCCATCCAGCTTTTTATGATAAGGTAGCTGTTATAATGGAGCTACATAAGTTTTGTGATTTAGCTTTGATATTAATAACCAGTGTAACCTTAGAAGTTACTCAGCTACTCTCTGCCTCAGTTTCCTCATCTTTAAAGTGAGGATACTATCATAGTTCTTTTTCCATTAGGTTGAAATTAAAAGAGATCATATAGGATATAATGAACAAGTTAAGTATTAGTTTGTTATTTGAAGTACATCAGCTATATTAATGCTTTCTAATCTGTGAGCTGCTTATGTCCCACCTTCCCATTTAGCAAGTGTTGTAAGAAATAATAAAGTATGATTCTCTGTGAGTTAAGTATGTGCTTTTTACCTGTCTAATAACATTGGCTGTCTGAAATATTAGCACAATTAATTATAACATTTATTTAATGCTTCAAAGTATAGAGAAAATTGTTTCCAAGAAGCTGGGAATATGCCAGTGTAGTTTTTAAAAAGACCTTCTAGAGGTCAACATCTCTTTTTTTTCCCCTACAATGTAATGACTTTCTGATACACTTTTCAAGTATGTAGCAAAATCAGAAAAGTAGGAGCAAAAATACTATTATAGACCCTTACTTCAGTGAAGAAGTCACAACTACCAAAAGAAAAGGCAAAAACAAAGCTCCAGAGAACTGACACTAGGGCTCACAAGACCACTTAAGAACCATTTACAGTTAAATCAGTTAGCCTAAACTAGTCAATAAACTATGGTGTATTCTGTATCATGGAATAACAACAATTAATCTGAGATTGTTGAGAAAGTTGGATGGGTGAGTGGGTGGAGGGGTGGGTGGGTGGATGGATGGATGGATGGATGGATAAAATAAGTCAAATTCATCAAGTACCTGCAGAACTCTGGTAACTCATTCCTCTGGAGTTTGGAAAACCTCTCTAGATCAGAAGGAAATATACTGAAGAATTCATTTCTTTATCAAATTTAAGTGACTTTTTTACATGTTTTCCTCATCACAAAAGCACTGGACTTGAAGAAGAAAGCCTGTTTAACATGTCAATCAACTGCTCCCAGGATTTTCCTGCAGACAGATTGAAACCCAACAGCAAGTCTCTTCTACTCAAGAGGAAAATGGAAATAGCCACCCTCAGTACTTGCTTTTCAAAGGATGATGAGAATAGAACCATGAGCCCTCATCTTTTAAGATACTAAAAGAATTCATTAAAAGTACTTTGTTTGCTTATGCATTTGTCAGCTGGAAGTAGATGTGAGGGAAATGGTTATCCCATTGTGAAATGATAAACATTGCCAGCAAAAAATAGTAAAAATTAAATAGAAGAAACAATTAGAATAGGTACTAAAACAGCTTCCTTCAAGCAGGGTTTTAGACACCTTCTGCATTTCTTTCTCCACTGTGATTAAAAAAAAAATCCGTTAGAAAATATTTGATAATTAATAGTGCCTTTAGTTATGAAATACTAACTGTGTATTCATTCTCTTAGTTATTTTTTTAAAGATTGTCTGTTCATATATTTATATATATTTTCAAATGATCTTAGGCTATTTGGTTTCTGAATTATTTTAAACTTACATTGACTAAAATATTTAGAGAACTTATATTTTCTAAATAATGTCCTTTACTCTTAATCTTGTCAGTATTTTTTATTCTGCATTAAATTACCTCTAAATTGTATTATTGCCCTTAAATGTTTTAATCCCAAAGTATGTAGAAACAGGCAATTGGGGTAAACAAACAACAACAAAAAAAAAAAAAAAAAAGAAAAAAAGGAAAAATCTATTGGGAAGTAAGATTATGCCTTAGGGCATGTCCCATAATATCTAAACATTTGTATTTGTATGTCTATTGTACACTAATCTTGTTTTATTTGTAGCAGTCCAATTAAGTCTCAGACAATAAGCAATATAATAGTTCTGTTTTTGATCTTTGTTGTTTTGGAACTAAAGGGTGAACTCAGGACCTGTGCACTGATCTGCTCTCTAGCCCTTGTTTTAATGTGAGGCAGGATCTCACTAAGTTGTCTAGACTGGGCTTGAACCTGGATCAGCTTCTTTATAGAGTGCTGAGATTACAACGCATGCACCGCACCTTCTACAGCTTTTACCTAAGTTTTTCTACCACTGCCTTGTGTTGCTTATAGCAAAGTTCACAGAGAACCCTGCCGTTAATTAAAAATATGACTTAAATGCATTGAAAACGAGAGAAGCTATCATCACAGGATACTCCCCTGTCTTAATTACTTTCTCACTGCGACGTAATGCCCCACACTTACAAGTTAAAGGAAGAAAGGTTTTATTTTGGCCAACAGTCTGTAGAGATTCAGTCCATAACCTGCTAGCTCCAAGGCAGGATGGCATGGCAGAGGAGAACACACTCATGGTATAGCAGAGAATCCACAGAGGAA